CGCCTGGGAAAGAGAAGGCTTAGAGGGGACATGATTGCAGTCTTCAAGTATCTGAAGGGCTGTCATGTAGAAGATGGAGCAGATCTATTCTCTCTTGCTCCGGATTGCACAACTAGATCGAATGGGTGGAAATTACAAGGGAGTCGATACTGGCTAAATATCAGGAGAGACTTCCTGACTGTCAGAGTGGTTGAGCCGTGGAACAGATTCCCTCGGGAGGTGGGGGATGCTCCTTTGCTGGACGTCTTCAAGCGGAGGCTGGACGACCATCTTTCAGTTATGTTGTAGGGCTATCTTTCAGCTGAGCTCCTGCAGAGTGCAGGGGGTTGGACTAGATGACCTGCAAAGTCCCTTCCTACTCTAACATTCTATGATTCTATGATCATCTGGGAGATCCACCAGGAGAATAATTCACCCCACTCCACTGGTGTCCCTGAGGGCGATTCTGCATTGACTTTTCCCTCCGTTGTTTTACCAAACCCACCTTGGAACAGAAATCCCCCTCTGCATTGCACGCCGCTCTCGCTTCCTTTAACCGTCGGATTTTATGGTACCTTCTGCATAGATAGACGGCCATTCCGGGGTGACTTTGCAGTCTGTACGGCGTTGCCCCGGGGTATCTGAATATGGTTTTGAGCGGCACCATTCCCTCAGGGTTGAGAAAATGTGGAGCGAATGTCAGATGCAGGATCGCCCTGAGTGCACTATTTCACTCTCTCACAAACGATGAAAATTTGCTTGCATGGGGAAAGTAGCATGCTACGCTTGTAGGGAGAGCCAAACCTGCCCTCCATACGGAGTGCGCGCACCCACCTCCCACCTCTTTGACAGAGATCCTACCTGTCATGATCTGGGCTGTGCCACCAGAGGCCTACTAGGCCCAGGGAGCCTGGCTAGCAGTAGGTGAGACTGGGCCCACAACTCCCAGAAGCCCCTGAGAGGTTTTGGAGCCAAAACTGACCAATAGAAAAAAGAGGAGGGCTTGGAATAAAAGATCTGGAGCAGCAGGAAAAGCTGTTCTTCTTCCCAGAGGGCAGAGCCAGAAGGAAGGTTGCTGCAAGGAAGAAACCCTCATCCTGAGGGAAGGGTGAGTAGTCTAGTGTCACTTGGAATAGTGAACTAGGGACAGTATATATTTAGACGCGTTAGGGCATCTGATTTCTTTTATTTTCACCCACTTACTGTCATCATTCTGCACCTTGTTTGTTTGACCTCCTATAAAATAAACTATTTTCATTGTTCACTCTGTCTGATTCTCATGCCTGTTATTCGGCCAAAAGGGAGGTCAGAAGGTCTTGGGCGGGGGCTCTGGGCCTTCTCAAGGGCGCCTGGAACCAGAGTGGTGGCAGCGTCAGGTGACACCCCACCTGAGCCGTGACACTACCAAAGGCCGATCCCCGACATCTCAGCGCTCCAGGGGAGGCCCGGCAGAGAAGCAGCATCCAGGGGAATTTACTGTGCCTCCCCCTTCCCCAGCACAGCTTACACAGCTTAAATCAGACAAAAGGAACTGTCAGCCACACAAGCGATGTATTCCTTTTCTCCAAAGCTGATACAAAGGAGAGGAGCAGCAGTCAGCACGGGGAAACAAACAAATATGGGATTCCAGTTCTTTCAGTTTGATCTTCATCCACTTCGGTCCCGAGAGAGAATCGACAGTTCACCGATCATTCCGAGACACCCAACTAGCAGAGTTCTCCGGGCCATAACGTCAAAACGGTGAGAGTTCAAGTTTGCCAAAAGTGAACGTAGTGCAAAGCAAGACAAAAAAACCCCTCCACAGACATAAGGACTTATCCGATGCTGCCCCCAGAGGGGGTTGCTCTACGCGAGGTATATAGCGGGCTTCTCTTCCTCTTGGCCAGGTGCCCTTCCCTGGAGCTGCTCCCAAGAAACGGGGTCGGAAAATTCGCCGCCGGCTGGCAGAGATGGACCAAAGAGTTCAAAAAAGTCTTGTGCATGTGACCGAGGTGGCAGGGAGTGGGGGGGGGGAGAGCCGACGTGAGACATTCAGACAGCCCCCCAAAGTGAGTTTTGCACACAACTATTGTGATCTTCTACATTCCACAACACTCTGGAGAGTAGGGTTGTCAAGTTGTTTTCGAGCC